CCTCTTTGGGCCTGGCGATGCGCTTGTGTAATGTCACCAGGCGCGGCTTCAAGTGGTTCCTTGGAACAGGTGGCATGATGGAGAATATCCGGATATACGATCGGTGCTTGAGGGAGCACGCGGAAGCGGCTGGACGCAAACGAAGGTTGCAGCAGTCAGGCCGTCAGCAGCGAGCAGCAAGCAGAATTGCATTATTGGCACGTTTGCAGAGGGAAGTCACTTCGTACCGCAGCAGCGACAAAGACGCCATGTCCGGGCGATGGGCCATCATTCGCGTTTCGCTTTCGGCCGCGGAAGCTTGGGCGAAAGGGGCTTAGGCATGGATTTGCAGGCGCGGTCGAGTGAGAGGTGTTCACAAAATAGCAGGCGTGCCGGGATGTCACAACATGGCCACGGACGTGAACCTGGAAGGCGCAGAGATTATTAGAATTATTGCTGGAGCATGACCACGCAGTGTTTCGTCTTCAGAGCCAACACGAGAGCGGAGACGAGACGTCGATAGTCGCCTCGTATGTACCGCACTCCCGTGGCGGCATCGGTGAAGCGAGCTGGGGGCGTGGTGAGCAGGCTTTGTCATATGTATCATATCATGTCAGTCGTGGTGGTGATGCTGATGATCTTGATGCTGATGGCGCTCAGATCAGGAGCAGCTTCCTGGCCGGACGTGCTGCTCGGGGGGAGGAAGTGGCCGTCGAGTGAGTGGCCGCACGCCAGGCTAGCGTGCCTGCCTTCGCCGCCTGTGCTTCCCTGTCGCGGAGCGTGTGTGGCAGGCTGTGCTTGCCTGCTGCGTTCTGCTCTTTGCCCCGTCTACCCTGCCGTAGCTAGTTAGAACTTAGCAGTCGCCAGCACCAAGCCAGGCAGGCGCGCCCAGCCAATGCCCTGCCCCGACCCATGGCTGACCCCGTGTTCCTTTCAATTCCACTCCCCGTCATTTGTCGTCGTCAACGCGCTGTGTGCGCATGTGCGGAACTCGCTCAGCACCAGTCTGCTTGTCCATGCTGCTGCAATTTTGGAGCCTCCCCGGCCCGTCTCACTCGCACTCGCACCACACCAGAGCAGCACCTTGCCCAGCCAGCCATGCTGCGTTGCCCGGCTAGCACCTGCGCCAGCTGTTTTGCGTGGCCATCGCCAGTAGCGCTCCGCTTGCAAGCCCCTTCACTCCCAATGCTCGCCCTTTCTTTGAGGCGTGACTGTGAGCAGTGCATCGCTCTCCCACTGCTGAGCCCGCCCAACACGCCCCATCCCTGCCGGCCGTGCTGTCGGACTAGCTGTGAAAGCGCGCGCGCTGATTTGCCTGCTTGCGGCTGCGGGCTTGCACCGCATCCACCACACCCGGCTTCTTTGTGTGTTTTCGCTTCTCGCTCTGACATCCTCCCTCACCCCAAGCCCTTCTTTGCCCTTTTTGCGCGGCCTTGACGCTACTTCCTCATCCGTGGGATCTCCAGCAATGCGGCGGCCATTCCCTGACGCTCGGCCACCCGCCGTTTCGCGCTTTGCTCTGCGCTTGGCCGCCCGCCGGCCACAGGGCTGGTTCGCCCGTCCATCCATTGCAGCAGGAAAGCCACGACAGTCGCGACTCCGGTCACGACTGACTCCTTGAATATCGACGGATCCAGAAGTCCTTGTGCTTCTCTCCACTCCCGCCATGCCTACGCACGGCGACAAGCCTCCATCACCGCTGCCTACCGCCCGTAGCCTTCATCATTCCTTTCATACGCTGTAGTCCTGCTGTTGTCTCCCGCCGTCATTCACATTTTTGCCGGCGTGCCTCGCCCTTCCAATGCCGCTCCTTGCTTGACATCATTCGGCCTGCCCACCAAAGCATTTAACACTAAGCCGCTCAAAACACTCTCTTCGCCCATTCTGGAAATGTAGCGGAGCCTTCCAAAACATTCGACCCGCCGTACCCTCTTAGACGCGTCCTATTCCGCCGTCATCTGCCTTCCCGTCCGAACGCTTCACTTCACGCCTTCACACCTTGCCGTGGACCAGCACTTCACACCTTCAGTTGCCCATGACGGCAATACAGTTACCGCCTTCAATGCCTCACGCCGTTCCTTTCCATCGGCCCAACAACCTTTTCTCCGCCAGACCAGAGTCGAGACTGCCGCATCCGCAGCTGCTCAAAGGTTCAACATCGGCCACTTCAACATTCTCGTCCTCCCAGAAACCAAACTCCCAGCATTTCACTCGTCGTGACTTAACACCTCCTTCCGAGATGAATTTGGGGTTCGACAGCGGGCGAATGTTGCCACAGAGACAGATGGACGCTTTGGGGTATGGCTCCCGACCGCAAACACAACTGCACCAGTCCTTCCATCAGAGCTCAAATCTTGGTTTGCATCATCACAACACATACGTGAACGGTTCAAAGGCGCTACCGAGTCCAACCACATTACGACCGATTGCAGATCAAGAGCCTAAGGAACAAGCCAACACAGATTCAACTGTTGCACCGTCCCTACGAATCCCAGACACCATAAAGACACCTCAGCATGGCATGCCACAGCTTGCTGCAGAGGTATGCGTCGTCACCCACTTTATCTCCATTGGCATTGGCTAACTTTCGCAGATCACCTGTCTCTTCTGGTTCGAAGACTCGTCGACTCTTGAGCGAATCGAAGCATCTCCGTTCCCGGCCCTGAACGTCTCTGCACTCGTGCCTGATGCCACGCCATCAGTTGGCTTTCGAAAATGGGTTGCCACGCTGCTCTCAACGACGCAAGTGACACAAAACGTCATTCTCCTTGCGCTACTCTTCGTATACCGCTTAAAGAAGATCAACCCAGGCGTCAAGGGAAAGCCAGGCAGTGAATTTCGGCTTTTGACGGTTGCTTTGATGCTTGGAAACAAGTGTGAGTTCCAGAATTTCCCCCACAAACTAATTGGCATTCACTGACGTAGAGAAGTCCTTGACGACAACACATACACGAACAAAACCTGGGCAGAAGTCTCCGGCATCTCCGTACAAGAAGTCCACATCATGGAAGTCGAATTTCTGAGCAACATGAGATACAGCTTGTTCACTTCCGAGGCTGAGTGGATGGATTGGCACGCCAAGCTTGGGAAATTCGGCACTTATTTCCACGCTGCATCGAGGTTACAAGAGCATGTCGCGAGGGTCTCCCAACTTACAACACCAGTGCTCCACGTACCACCTACACTTCCTTCGCCTCCTACATCGAATCATGCGTCACCGCCATACGCGACTAATTCTCCTTTGAATGCGTCACGGACTAACACGCCTCTTTTATTGCCACAGATCAGCTCTACGGCAGTCTCTCCTATTGGTCCGTTGCCAGAGTTGAATTTGCGGCCCACTCCGAGGAAGAGAAGTTACGATGAGCAAGCCGAGGAGCCAGCACCAAAGAGACTGAACAGAAATGTCGCACAGCCGACCTATCAACCGACTGTTACCGCCTCTCTTCAGTTGCCGAACCCGCACCCTATGTCTCAAGCGCCACGGTTGCCTCTTCCGGCCTTGACAATTCCGTCAGCGAGTGGACCTCCACCAGCGCAACTCTCTGTGCCACAACTACCTCCCCCGGGAGGTCGAGCAATGGCCATGGTGTACCCAACTCCTTCCCAATGGCCTCAATCACTCACTATGGCTCAATCGATCCCACCAATGCAGCCAACAGTACAGGCACTGAGCAACACGGCATTCCAAGACAACGGGTCTCGCCAACTCAGCCCATTCCCAGTTGGGTCGAACACTGCATCTCCTGTCAGTGCTACTTTCCCGCAGAACAGGCTTTCGCCTTCGTATTACCTGCAGCAAAGAAGCTCGCCGTATCGGCCCGTTCGGAATGTGCACACATTACTCGTGCCTCCACCCTCGACATCGTTGAACAACGCTCCGAGGAACATTCCGTTCAACCAGATGCAGTATCAGCCACTCGGAAGGCCGTTCAACGAGCGACGAATTGGTCATTTGCCGTACTTGCATCACGAGGCGTGGCCACCTGCGCATCAATTCAATCAGTGGCCAAGCGTGACACAGCACTAGGTCATCCTACGCAGCGCGGACTTCAAATCACACGCAGTTCGCGCTCGACCTACCCCATAGTCTTTCTTTGCGTGTTACTGCTCCCCGGAGCGGACTTAGACTCTCACCAATACGTCAAATTGTAATCCCTCCAAAAGATGCGCTCGCATGTATAAATACGCCGCGGATCCTTCGTCCTTCAACTGTACAAATTTCTGCATTCTTTACTTTTTTTCCTCCCCTACCGAATAATCCTCCTGTACCAGCAACACTGTCATTTTCCGGCATAGCGACGGCGTTTCCCCATACACCAACAAAAAACAGGGATTGCATACTGCTGCAAAGAAACAAAACGTTTCTTTTTCCTTCTGTCGAATCGAATTTCCCGGACGTCTCAAGTGCTGAGACCTGCTGCTGTCTTTTAGAAGACGAGTGTTTTTTGCGTCGAGCATAAACTCGGAACGGTGCACACCGTATTTGCTTTTTTCCTTGCTGTAGTGGATATCTCGGGGGAACGGGGCGGGGGATCTTCTGTGGGAAGCGTAGACTCTAGGACAAAGGCCCTTTAGAGTGTAACCTTAGATAGCAAAATGTGAAGCCGCATGGCTAACTAGTGATGGATCACTTTGAGTGTCTTTGACTTTGTATCTCTCGTCTTCGAGCAACCCCTGAATTGATAGATGTCACGTGAGCCGAAAGGTCTTGGTGCTGGACATTTTCTTGCTCAAGTCCTGAAATTTGTATCAAGTTCTCAGATGCCCAGTAAATTTCCACGCCCTTGAGATGCTGTTAGAGACCTAGTGAGGGGACTTTAGGGGTTCTTTTGGGCCTAAGGTATACAGTCTGATGAGTTCAACGTGCTGTGCCCGCGATGTTCGACGGCTCCAGGAGGTCACATGGTAAAGCCGAATTTCTCAACGACCACCCCCTTTACCCAGGGTCTTATCATTAGGAAGAGCAAAAAGATATCACGCATAGTGTGATGAATAGGCACAAAAGGCAAAAAGAAAATCGACGTGGGCAGGATTCGAACCTGCGCTCCCGAAGGAAATAGATGATCTCGAACTAAGAATTCGAGTCTATCGCTATAACCACTCAGCCACCACGCCTTTGCCGGCAAAACTATGATCCATCAGTGGCCGATGTTGAATATGAACGTAGACCAGATATTTCGTCGAAAACGTTCAAACGTCAACCCTTACCATCCCAACTCACGTCCGCAATACTTGACGAGTGTTGCTTTTTGCATGGCGACATAGCGTCCTTCTGCCCAAATGGATCGGTGACTTGCTAGAGGCCTTCGAATGGCAGCACCAGGGTCCTCTTCTAGCCCTCCATCCGCCGCAAATACGACTCCGAGTCGCAATGCAGTGCTGCTCCACAACCTCGCGCTCGGCCTGCTCGTCCTGTGCCCGGTAGTCGCGCTCATCCCGCCGCGAAAGCTCGATTTCTACACTGCGGGCCTCGGCAGCGCGTGACTGGTATCTGCAAACCATGTCTACCATGAACGGGAGGGACGGAACATTGTCTCATTTCCTTCCTTCAGCGCAGAGGACACGCTGGCGGCGAAGACGGCGAAAGAGGTGCACCGACAATTGAAGGAGGGTAGGGAGCAGCTGCGGGATAGCACTCAGGGGAAGGAGGAGGATAAGAAGAGGATGGTGCAGAAGGTTTGGAAAGGCGAGGAGAAGGATGGATGGAGGGAGCGACAACTGGAGGAAGACAGGGAGAAGTTCGAGGAGGGGAGGGGTATTGGGATGTCATTATGGATCAGATATGGGAGGTCTGGGAAGGAGATAATGGGAAGGGAAGAGACGCGACCACGAGAACGGACAAGAAGGCAAGTGAGCCGGCTTGATTGCGGTGACGCGACTTGCGCGCTGAGATGCCAATCCACACCATGTCGTCAGATAATATGGCTTGATGGTAGGTAGGCAAGTAGCTGGCCGCCGGGTAAGCTGTAATAGCTAAGGGCGAAGGGCGCTTGCTCTTCGAGGTAAGCGAGACTATCTCTGAAAGCCTCGTTCTACGTTCTTCAGAGTGTATTTTGCAATCGCACACTGCTGAAAAATTGATATGCTTTATTAGTTGCAGAGGCTATACATCATAGCTATCCCGTCTCTTGAGAGCGGCACCAAACCTTTTCGTCGAACTCGAGACTCGATTATGCACTAGGCGTGTACTGTAAACACTATACCGCGTCGGACATCATATGATCTACAGTCCGAGCGGACTGTAACGCTTAAGGACGGGCAGCTCTTGCTCATCGACGTAAGCGAGACCATCTCCGAAGGCTTAGTTCTACATTCTTTGGAGCGTATACGATCATAGTACGACCGTTGGAAAATCTGTATACTGCATTAGACGCAGAGGCCACACATCAAAGCTGCCATGCAAGCTGTAGCGCTCGCCTGAGCCAGCAGCTCATTCTCTTTAACGTAAGCAACACCGTTTCTGAAAGCCCAGGCGTGCGTTCTCCGGGGTGTATACAACAACAGCGCAAGCATTGAAGAACTTGCACACTTTCCTCGTTCTGGAGGCTAAATTTTAGCTCTCTACTCTCCCGGGTGAGATCGAGGCGATTCTCCAAGCTCTATGTAAACGCGATTTTAATTGGTTTGAGCATCGAAACAAGCAGAGCGACAAAGAAGACGTCGGGACTAATATAGAGCTTTTTTCGTAGGTGTGGATTTGAGCTCTTTCCCTTCGCACACATCATATGAGGGACCTGGTACGGGCTCTGCATGGTACTAATGGTCCTTGTAAGATACTTCCGCACGCAGAGGCCCTGCGTCGGTGTATTCGTTTGAGTATCGGAATTCCGGTACAACGATACAGCTAGCCTTCTATTGTCGAGGTTCTGGATGTTTCGCTAATCCAGAGGCATAGATGGTGTTTGCGAACACCTTCGATACTCTATTCAAGAAGACGGAACGATGGCGTATTGTCTATTATCAGGAATCAAATGCTTCCACATCCTCCGGGAGAATCACGAAGAACATTGGCAGCTCGAGGACGATAAACAATTAGAGCGAGACAGGTGGACCGCTGCAGCAAAGACAAACTTCACACTTCAGCACAAGTGAGAGTGCTTCTGGGAGCCTAATTCAATGTTCTCGGGACGGTATGTGTCAAGAATGTGTTGAGCTTTAACAGGCATAACTTTAGATAATAAGAGGCCCTACTTCCTAGCAGTTCCATGTTTCGCACCCGCAAACATTTCATTTCCTGTATCTCTACTAAGAGCGTAATACTAACAGATGAAGCGGTAGAGCATAAATGAACTTTGAAGCTTTGTTCTTCAGGACAAGTGAGAGCGCTTCTAAAAGCCTCATTGAATCCGCTTGGGCCAGTACATATGAACGCACAACAATAACAGGCATCACTTGTATTATTTGAAGAGGCTGGTCCTAAACAGTCCTTGCTTTGCACCCGCGCAAATTTCATACTCTACCGAGAGGTCAATGCTGATAGAGCTGAGCGCCGTAGCATAAGTGGATCTTGCTTTACAGCGTAAGTGAGAACGCATCTGAAAGCCTGATTTATGTACTCGGGAGGGTATATGTGAAGAAGATGCAGCTTTGACAAGCATAACTTGCATTTTTAGAGGAGTTTTTGCCATTTTATAGTTCAAGCTCCGCAGTCGCAGATACTTGCTACCATGTACATATATACACCGAGAGTTCATGTGGTCATGGAACCGTTTCCTCCAAACCCCTACTCTCTCGCAGCAGGTTCACTCCACCGCCATCCCCTGTCTCCTGCGATGCCTCCGAGACCCCCTCGCCGTCGTCACTCTGGACCTTGTCACCAGTCCCGGAGTCTGAGGCTTCTTCTTCGCTCGCCCTCAATCGCTTCTGTGCCGGTTTTGATAGTACTACATGGCCGCCTCTGTCGAGAGCAGAACCCACTGACTCTAGCGAGTCCCGCTTCCTCTTCGACTCTTTCAGTGTAGCCTTCTCCTGCAGCCGCTTTTCGTAGTGTTCGACAAGGCGCTTTCTGACTGTTCCAGAGATGTCTTCATATTCGATATCGGCCTCCTGTTGTCCTGTAGATGGCTGTGGCGGTTGTGGCGGTGGAGGAGAGGAAGCGGTCGGGCGAGAGAGTGATGGGTTGTCGTGCTTCGCTTTCTTGTGATTTTTTGTTGCGATATATAGGGGTAGATCATCATCTTCCCGTTTGCGACGCTTTACAAGATCAAATAGCTGGCCGCTGCGTTGTGTTGGCTGTGGCCTGGGCGTCTCAGACACAGTCTCCTGCACTGGAGTTGGAATGTTCTCGCGATGTGCAGGTTCATTTGAAGCTTGCTGGTTTCCGCCACCGTTTTCACTGTGTGCGTTGTCGATGCCTCCAAAGTAGCTCTGCATGCTCAATGCATTCTGCAGGGCATTATTCGTAGTGGCGTACATGCCCTCCATGCTCGCAACGAGTGAAGGATCGACAGGACCTCGTTCGATTAAACCTTGGGCTAACAGCTCGAGCATTGCTTTGTGGCTAGAGAGATTTGCGACGTGTGCTTGCATGAGCTAAGGCTCAAAAAGTCAGAGTTTATTTGGCAGAGCGGAAGAGGATGTTGCTTACCGTCTGCCATGTGCCGCCGTCCATGCTCGGTGTTCCGCTAGAGAATTGAGAATCGCTGTGCTGCAATTTAAGATTGAGGTAGTTTGCAGTGCGCAACTTTCCGAGGAAGGCGTCGAGATCTTTGCTGATTGTGTCGGTCATGACGGGGTGAAATGTGTTGCCGCCGAGTGTTCTGTTTATTGTGTGCACAGACAAGTGAAGGGAAGTTGCAATTCAGGGCGCAGCTGCCATTGGTGTGTTGGTGACGTCGCGTGCAAAATGTCCACGCGAGATTCCTTGGCATCGCGAGATCACGTGCGGACACTTCAACTCCTTTCGGAAGCTGTTCTTGGAGAAGGGCTCCAATATCCTGCCTACTAACATCCAATTGACCTGGATACACACCAGTCTGAATATGCTAAGATCAATCATTCCCGATGCCAATATGTTCTATTCAAGTGGACGGTGTTTGGACTCTTAGTAGACCATTGCGTCTAAGCACCTCTTTGATTTTGAGTATATTTGTGATGTTTCTGAACTTTGGAGAGATAAAATGACCTTGAAGATAGGCGTATTTAACGTCAAGTGCTCCAAACAGATAAGTTCCCCGACGCAAGGCAAGACATTTCAGAAGGCTCTGACGTTTGAAACAATATCCGGGCTTTTGGGAAGCTCTCTCGTCCACGTATTGAAACCAGTAGCTAGCAACAACCGCTCTCCGTGGATTCACGACCATTGGCTTTCAGACGGGATTTGTCAGTTATTCCCCAGCCGGATCACTGGGTACTCATCGATACAGGCATCTAAGCCTTTTTGGCAGTCCGCACACGAGGCAAGGCAACTGCTTTAAATCACCAGTAAGGCTGAAATCGGATCCTTGGCCTCGAATAGCTCAAGGCTCAATACATATGAACCTTAATGATCAAGACGAAAAGTAAAACCTCAGGTCCAGAGTTAAGGATATCGGTAGACCATCATTGCGCTTTCCTCTCCCCAAAGAGTTATTCATTATGGCATTATTTCAGTCAGGCTCTCTCTCTAAACTTGGTTCGTTGAATATTGCACCTTTCCTCGATACTCCAGCCTTACCAAACATCCTCGCCGAATGGGCCTCTATTCTCCCTTTGGTGTGCCATCTCGCAGGCTACCAGCGTGACTATCAATCTGTTGGCAAGATATCTCTTCTGGGTCGCCTCTCCATCGGCCTCTTCCCAAAACTCGGAACATTGGAAGGCGCAGCTGGAATGCTCAAGAGAGGGCCGGAATATCTAGACCAGGCTAGTGGCTGTGGAAGTCACAGTCACGTCGTTTGGGATGTACTCTGGGGTAGCGTATTTCCGTGCGCAAATGGCGCAGCAAGTGCGTTGGTTACGGCCTTTGGGATCGAGTCGAGAAAGCAACAGCCTACAATGATGCCCGACAGCCTCGCCGAGAGACCACCGGCTCCAAGTGAGGGAGTAAACAGTAACCCTCCAACTCCAGATCAGTCAACTCATGCCGTCGAGCAACCTGGTCCGAGGGAGAGTGGCGCGGCTGTGGAACCCACAGA